ACCGCATCCAGTCAGTCAAGCCATGCTGTAACAGCAACTGGGTCTGACGAATCGTCTCTCAGCTTTGCGCAACAATCGCAACATTTGTTTCCACAGTTGCACGACAACGCATCGAGAAACAGCAACATGCGGAGTCAGTCGCAATGGACGACGAACATGCGGAGTCAGTCGCAATGGACGACGGGAAACCGGGAATCAGACGGCACCGTCAAGCACGTGTGCTGCCCTACATCCACGGATTGTGGTTTGGCTTGGCCGCAAACGGAACTGATACGGCCAGATCTTCGCCGAAGGCAGTCGCTGTCGCATCTGCGAGCAGGATGCCCTGGTAGTACTCATTAACTTGGAACTTGGGAACTTGGGAACTTAGAAAGACTTAAAAATGCAGCTGCCACCAACGGCAACGCAGGCTTGCGAGAAAGGATGTTGACCAGACACTGCAACTGCGCGAAGATCAGATAAACGCCTGCTGAATTCCTTCCGCAACCTTTTCGTTGGCCAGCTCTAGCTCTGCCCGGTCATTGTTTGGAGACAGGTCGCCCTCTTCTGTCTCCTTGGACGTCTCTGTTGCTTTTGTCGGCACGTTCTTCGCAGGGCCGGGGCCCTGGGGTGGCGCCGGTGGCGCAAAGGATGTGGAGCTGATCCGGAAGCAGTACCTGCACCAGTCAATCTCTCACGAACATGCATCCAACTCCATCCTCCCTTCCTTCTGCATGCCTCACGTTCACAAGGCCCTCAGAAGCGTCTACTAACAAGCCCTTTCGCTCCGCCTCGTTGCCATCTGATCGGCATAGGACGGGACGACCTCTGTGCCGAGCAAAGACACCGATGCCAGCAGCAACTTGTTGTCGTAAACTCCCATCGCCGACAAGGCCTTCACCAGTCCTGCCCGATCCATCTCTACGAGCTTGGCTGACATGGACTGCAAGGATTCCGCAACGAGGGTGGGCGCCGGCGTCCTCAAGATGCAAACTCACTGCAAGCTAAGAGCTCATGTCCGATCAAGACTGGGTGACAACGTCTCAACCGAAGCACGCCTAGACAAGCAACTTTGGACTACACGGCATGCATGCTTTTAGCAGCTTTAGCAGAGGCCTTGCCTCTCAAGGCCTAATTAAATCAACACGGAAAGCCAACTTCAACAGCAGCAAAAACCAATGTCCTCTGGAGGTTG